GGGCAAACATGTGCTGCCAATGAAAGTGTGGTCATTTGTATCACACATAACCTCCATGTCTCTACTTTCTAATATAGCAAAAATGTTATCAATTTCCAAATAAAAAAATGTGTTTTATTAAAAAAATAAAATGTCAGTTCATTTTGGGACATCATTTATCATTAAAATATACTAGTTTTATTGCTTTTAGATCACGTTCGAAAAATCGTGCTGAAAAATGGGGTGCGAATGTAACTGAAACACAATACGTGGACAGTATAAATTATATTAATAAAAGGGTAGACTATGTTCGCGTATTGTCGTCGGTCGTAAATAAAATTAGCTCGCTCGTTAATTAGGGCTCAATTTACAGCGTATAGGGGTGACCATTTACTATATACATGTATACTATACATATATATATATTTACATACATGTATAAATATATAAAACCTAACGACCATTCGCAGCCAAATTAACGTCTCTCTCGCTTTTATAACGATGACACAAAAGTTACACGAAATTACACGTCACGTTTCACCCGAAACAAAACTGAATAATAAAAAAATATACTAAAAGCTAAATAATTTTGGGGTCGTTGCACATTTTGAAAATTGATCGATTCGTTTTATTACTTAAATTACGTTCAGATTTAGTTCACGTCCTTCAGATTACGTTAATTTCCTTGAAATTTCGTTTCATTTCATTATTTTGTAATTAGTTCGTTTTATTTACATGCTTCTTTTTCTTTCCATTTCATTAAATTAGTTTACATTTCGTCCAATAACTTCATCAATTATTTACTTCATTTCGTGTACAATTCTATCATGTTCATTTGCTTCATTTTATATGCATTTTTGTATGTTTTTCAAATATTTACAATTAGTAATTATTTATTTGATTTGTTCATATTTCCATTTCATTCGTTTATTTTTTATATTCATTTCAATCATAAATTCAGTTCATTTAAATTCTATAGATTTCTACTCTATATTTCATTCATTTCATATCATTTTTCAAATTTCGTTCATTCAGTTCACATTTAGTAGTTATAATTATATTTTATTCATACTTGATAATTTTTAGTCTGTATTAATTTTATGTATACTTTGTAAAAAAATGAGTATACTTAAAAAATGTGTTTTTATATAAAGCGTATCAATTTTTGATGCTATTTTTCTATTTATTGTTATGATTTGAAAGAATATATAAACATTTAGATCTCATTTCATCAATTTAGTTAATTTCCTATGTATTTTGTTACTATTTTTGTTTATAATATAATTCAAATCATAGAAAATACATTTGTTTACACAAATAAGACTCATTTTACAAAATCTGAAACTAGGAATTTTTCATCAAAAAAAAAAAATTTATTATTCAAAATTTCATCAAATCCAGAATATTAATAAAATTTTCAAAAATACATTTATTGTAATTTATATGTATTATTAATAATATTGAATAAAATTTTAAAACTTGAATTTATTGTTGTGTCATAAAAATCCTTAGAAAAATAACATATTTTCCCTTGACCCAAGCGTCGTTATATAACTAGTACTCTTTCTGTTACATTCACATATCCGTATTATCGATTAACTAATTTAATGCTTATTAAGTCTTTCATTTCAAGGCAGTTCGTGCAGTTTATTTTCAATAAATACTAAGTGCCAATCACTTTAATAATCCATAAATTTACATCAATAACCATTTGATGATTGCATTCAATCTCACTTAAACCTTCAAAAAACTTCCACAAAATTAACAGTTAAAGCAAGACAATATTAGCACCTCTTCCATTCCTTTTTGATTAGCTTCAATACAATTTTTTATTGTTGTTCCATGAACCTTTCCTCTTTCAAGTTTAATTAATAAATAAACCCCCTCGGATCCTCGAGGCTAAGAAAGAAGTGGAATATTATTAAAGAGGAGGCGAAGAGAAGGGAACGTCGTGACTCGACCGTCGGCCC